GTTGTTTTGAAAGATTGTCGGGATTCAAAAGACAAAACTAGGGGGTATGGACTCACGGTTTCAACGTAGCTAGACCATTTGGCTATAGTCTAGTAACATTCTTGGTTGAGATTAGTCCGAGAGAACCTATCAGTAGAGAGAGCGAGAGCAAGGAGAGTAGGACCAAGACTTAGGTCCGCCTCCTTGTCTACTTGAGCAATGCGGAGGCCTTGGCGGCAAGCGCAATTCCAACTCCGCGGAAGTGCACCTTCAACACGACCAGGGCTTGGCCGGCATGCAGCTAAGCCCCGCCCATGCTGTACCCACTATACTCCAGCAGCCAAATCCTAGAGTCTAGGAGAGAGCTATGGCTCGAAGGATGCCAACGCGCCCATCAAGCCTATGAATCCAGACTGCGTCGCATTTCTTCATGGTTGTTCGGCTGCAGCGCGAGAACTAAGCCTTTGCCAAACCTCTCTGACAAGTCCACGGGTGGTACCAACGAATGCAGTGCTAGTCAGCAATCCGGTCGACTTTCAACTCGGTTAGGATAACAAGAATGCAGGACCGGGGTGGGGAGAAGCCGATGGATTCCAAGGACTGCTTTTCTTCCCCCGGGGGAGGTAGGTAGGAGGGAAGAAAGTGGGGGGTGATGTATAGATATTTAAGGGGGAAACTATGGGCTTGGCTTTGACGATCAACTGCATAATCGTGACATGACCGTGGATCGCCGGGCTTGGCTTCTGGGAGATAAGTAAAGTCGGTGAGTGGGAGTAGCGAGGAGAGTATGTTGTATGGGCGAATACGGAGTACGGAATACTCCGTCCTAGAGTCACTATTTCGAATATTAGACCATTCAGAATTAGTGGATCTCTTATTGCTCCATCGGAACTCCGAGACTTTTTTTTTGAATTGACATTGTACAAATTCGAGGGATCACCCAATTTGGGATCTGAAAGGGGACACGGGCCGTAATAGCATCAGGTGACAGGGGGGGACCTGTTGTCATTATGTAATAGAGTTGTCTATCCCCGCATGATCTCCCCCAAAGAGGCGATTCTGGCTGGATTTATGTCGAAGAGGTTACTAATGTTAGTAATAGTAGCTGCATGAATAGTAATATATTAAGTAACAAGAACTCGTGGTCTGGGGTAGACGATGCATCGGGATTCTGGAGATCTGCTGACCTGTCACTTTTTAAGGAAGTTTGGACGTTTCTTGGTGAGGCGCGCTAGGTACCGGTGGATCGACGAAGGTTTGGGATATTATGTCATAGAATTGGAATAGAATTGGAGTACAACTGGCAGGTGGGACAATAGTACCATACATTTGAGGTACCACATCCTGGTCCAATTATCCTAGAGATGTATATGTACTCCCAAGTTGCTTATTGTACTTTGTATCTGGGATCACAGAATAAATATCTCTATCAGGTCCATATTCGGGGGGTATGACGCCATTTTCCGCATGCATCCCCAAAAATAAAATAAAAAAGCAAATGGAGTCTGCAGGGGTAGCTTGGGGAACTAACACGAACTTAATCAGTCTAGTTGTGATATAAGGAAGTATAGCATCGACGTATGGAGTATATAGTTTAATTTAGATGGATTTATATAGATGGATTTATATGCATTACTTCTTTCTTTTTTTGTAATTTATCAAGTTCAATTTTCATATTTAAAATCCAAAGAATAGACCAGAAAACCAAAATAAAAGAGAAAAAAGAATTGAGATCCGCCACCGTAATCAATCAGTTCACCCGTTTTTTTTTTCTTCCAAAAATTAAAAAATAAAGAATAAAATAAAATAAAATAATAAAATAAAATAATTCGCCCCATGTGGCCATGACCCATGGTGCATTTCTTTGCATTTCTTTCGATCTCTCGATCTTTCAATCTTCAACTTTCTCACCTTCACTTTAATTTCATTTAACTACTTAAATGTTTTAAAACTGAAGTCTTGAATCCTTTCTCCGATCGGAAAAAACCCATAATTACCTACAAAGTTGTGCAACGCCGGTTCATCCGTTTCCGTGACTAACAGCTTCGTTTTTTTTTTTCCCCGCCGCCCCTCTGGGAGAGAGCCCTAAACTTGCCCTCGGTCTTAACACTTTGATTTGACCGGGGCAATTTTTTTCTTTCCCTTTTTTCAATTTGGAGGAGCCTGTTCATTTTTTAATTTCGGTAGACATATTTTTTTTTTGTGTTTCTACCTGCTCCAAGGTACTCCTCAACTAGTTACTGTACACTAAGGGCCCTTTATAGAGGGCCTCTTCCTCTGCACCATGACCTCCGTTACTCCTGCTCCTTCGCAGCCCAAACCGGCCTTCCCGCGACTTTCTTCAATTCCCTGCGGTGATCACTTCCACTCACGCGACTCCTCTCCCTCGCCCTGCAGCACCCCGGACGGGTCCAGATCGAGCAGCCAGCGTCGCCCCTCCTTCGGTTCTATCAAAGAAGATACTGAGGACGGTACGTACCGAAGATGTACGAATTCAGGCTGGAGGCTGACGTGATCGGTACTATAGGAATTGCGCAATCCTTCGTGGACACCCAACAGGCACCATCTCCCCAAGAGCAAGACCAAGAGCGCAAGATTGAGCGCCCCATCCAGATGCAACAAGCCCCGGACTTTTGCTGTCCGTGTGGTGGATTCCTCGGGTGGAAGCAGATTCGATTGGGCGGGAAGAGTTTGAGCCGCAGCTACAGCGATCTCCGTGGACTTGGAAACCTACAAGCAAAGGGCTGGGCATGGGAAGCCTCCGAACCTGAAGCCGTGGAGCTTCTCCCACCAAAGGCCCCCGAGGTGGAGGTGGAGGTATTGCAGACACCTCCCGGTACATCGCCTTTGGAGAGGTTCCCCCCAGAGGTTCTTGGTACGAGGTCCCACTTGCCATTCTGGTTTCTCATGTGCTAACAACTGTTGGTAGATCAAATTATCTCTAACTTGGCGGTCGATCTTCCACCGAATGGCTACGCCCCTCGCAACGTGGATTTGGTCTCGTGCCTGCTTACTTCTCACACATTGCACGCTGCTACGTTGGGTGTCTTGTACAGGAACATGACTTTCCCGCACTCGATCATTTTCTCCAAGGCACTAAATCATATGTCGCAGTATCCGGCTTTGGGAACATTGGTGCGCCGTCTAGACTTCTCGCACTTCACCTCCGTCGGCCTAGGTCGCACTAAGCAGATGAACGCCGAAATCCAGAACCTGACCTCCAAGACCCTCTTGCAGTGCCTGGAACTGCTTCCCAATTTGAAGGAATGTCTGCTGCAGGAACATCTGGAAGGTGACATCAGCGTGGAAGTGATCCGGAAGCTTTTCATGGGTCTGCCGAACTTGCGTGCCGTGGATTTCTGCGGTTGCTCGACTCAGGCATTCTCCGGGGTTTTCCAGCAGGCCTTGGTCGGTGGGCCTGCGCTGCCCATGACCTTGCCCAACCTGAAACGGCTCTCGCTTCACGAATGCAGCACCATCCCCGCCCCCATGTTCGACAACCTTCTCCCGCGATTGATCAACTTAACGCACCTCGACCTTACTCACACTCAAGTGAACGATTCAGCTCTCTTTGCCATCCCCGAGACTGCGCGTATCTCGCACTTGAGCTTGTCACGATGCACGCGCCTTCGCCCGTGCGCCCTGGTCAACTTCCTCACCACCCACCCGTCGGTCAATGAGTCTCTCGTGTATCTAAACCTGTTGACGGACCCGACCCGCTTCCGTCTTCTGGAGGAGACCGATGTGTCTGCTCTGCTGCCGAATCTTCCTGATACTCTCCGCTCCCTCAATCTAGGCGGAGCAAAGATCACCTCGGACCATGTACCACTCCTGGTACCTATGACTAAGTACCTGGAGGAGCTGGGTCTCAGCTCTGCGGATCTCTCAGTCGCGGATGTGAACTCATTCTTCGGCCGGTACCGCAACCCAGCCACGGGGGTTGAAATTGATGCCCCCAGCACACTCTGCTACCTCGATCTTGCCAAGGTGCCGCAGATGACCATCGGAGCCATCTTCAACACCAGCACTTGTATGCTCCTCTCGAACCAGAGCTACCCCTTGCAGGTCGTTGAGTTCAGTGACAAGATTATCACCCCGCTGCGTGAGCGCGCCAAGACCCAGCGCGTCTCCGTTGGCTGGACTGTGCGAGACCTTGGCCGTCGTGGCTGGTACGTCCGCGAACCATCCTCCATGCCCCAGGAACCCCATGATGATGGCGCTCGTTACTGGAAGATGGGTGCGCGCTGGTGGGGTATGCGCAAGATCCCTATGGCCGTCGGAGAGGTTGGCGGCCTCTATGGCCACTACATGTTCAAGAAATGATCTACTATGAGCGTTCTATTCTCCTCAAAAGCGTCTTCGCTGGATCTTTTTTCTATCACTTTTGCTGATACCCTTGATTTGATATCCTTCATTTTCACGGTTTGCGTTTCATTGGAGGGGGCTTTGTTCTATTGCTTTTATTGCTTTTTTTTTTTTTGACGATCATGAATGATGATATCCGGTCTATGCATGGCGGCGCGCAACATGGTTTACGAATTTCGGCATTCTGGCTACTGGCTTCGGGTTCGTGCTCTCGGTCGCGTTTTGTCTTTTGTTTTTGCATAGCATCTGAGATTTCTCTCTTCAGCGGTGTCTGGTTCTTTTTTTTATCTCTCTTATCACTGGCTTCATATGGCGTTATTGTACCTATCCGGATTTTACTACTCTGCTCATAAATACCTATCTAGTCTCTACTTTATCTCTTATAAGCTGTTTTGTACAGAGTAGACTAGATCTGATATAGCCGTGTGCCCGCCTCATCCGGAAGGTGCCCAGGTGTGTTCAACCAGTCCCAAATACGCAACTACCTGGCAACAAATTCCCAGGACTTGCATCCCCCTCTCTTCCTCTTCATCACCTCTCTCTCTCCGTCACTTCCCTCTTCATCAACCCCCCTCATCCTCAAACCTCCCACTCAGCCAACTCTCTTGCTTTCCCAATCGCCGTGCTGAACTGTACCTGGTTTGTCACTCTTCGCCATGACTCTTCCGATCGAATGCTCGAGTGGTAAGTTGTGCTTCCCATATTGAGCCCAATAATAAACTTCAATTAATCCAATTAAGAGGACCTCATCAAATCCCTCATCGCACTGAAATCACAGCCCGAAAATGAAGCATCTCGAAGACTCCAGGTTGAGGTACTCCTCTCCGCCGTCCACTTCCAAGTGACGAAGAGACACATGATTGGGCCATCATCCCTAGACATCCAATCCCGCTCTGGGTCTTCTTACATGGGTGTATGTGCTAGTTCGACTAGGGCCCGTGCACATGGACTTCTTGAATGTTCTTTTTGGTATGGAGTAGAGGACAAGAACATCAATTTCATGGCTGTGATGCGACCCTCGAAGATTCTGGGTCATGAGGGAATAGGCTCAGAGATAGCAGTCCTGACGGGTGAGTGTTGTGTTGTGCTCTAGTACTCCTGTCACAACTAACCGGAGAAAGGTGAGCTCCATGCCAAGCAGAGACGTCTGGAGAAAGAGGGCCGCACTGTATACACACTTGCAACGGACGGTGATCTCTTCAGGTTCTTCCGCATAACCACGGAAGGCCAGGTATGTGCATCCAGACAGCTATAGGACATTATAATACCTGATGCTAGCGATATACATAGCCGGGCGAAACACAATGTCGGAGCGGAAATAACTACCAGGATCCCATTTTGCTTCTCACGACGGTCTTTGACGATGCTTTTATTCCACCAGGAGCCCGCATGATACCCCCTACCACATTGGAAGATACTACTGGTAAGACTACGCATTCCGATTTACAGATTGTGGACGGATCATCTTCGCCAGCCCTGCGCAAAGCCCCGATCTCAGACGAAGAGGAAACCACCCAGCAGAAACCACCCCAGCACTTATGAACCAGACACTGACAAATATCATGAAGAGAAAGAATATCACAAAATTCAGACATGCATGGACCAAATGGCTTTGCGAGTGGGAGTCAAGGTGTACATGGATGTGTTACAGAAACTGTCCATCCGGCTCAACGACCAAGAGGGGAAAAAATCCCTCAGGCTAATCCCGCTGGTGATATCCATCGCGATAAAAATGATACACGAAGGCCATTCCGGAAGCGGCATTCTTAGTTACGAGACGGCATTGATGAGGAACTTTGACGCTGAGCTAAAGAAAGTGCTAGAGGCGGTCGACTTTAAGGACTACCATGACAACCAAAAAGTGCTCAAGAATGTGATTCGGAAGGCAGCCCTGGAGGAAATCTGGCCTGCGTTTGAGGAGATACTCCAGGTGGCGCGCGGCAAGAAGTTGGAGAAACTTTTCAAGTAGGAGGATTGATATTTGCCATTTAAGGCACATGCGATCTACCATGAACTTGCAACACTGTTGAAGATGACCAATATGTACCTATGGACCAATGAACTGTACCATAGTTGAGTAGTTTTTCTGAACCATTTTGTTTGTGTGATGCGTTACATGTTGTAGGGATATATAGGGATATGTAGAGATCGTTTTGAATAAGCCTTTCAACGAGATAGACCCTGGAGAATTGAACTCTAGTCTGATGGACCTATCTGTGACTTAAAAATCTCATACCACAGTTCCCACATTTTGTTCCTGGGCCAACGAAATAAGTGCCTTCGCTACTGCTAGGTCCATGATACCTTCGCCCACACCCTAATAAATCAAAAAAAAAACCTTTGGCTAGCCAACCCTTCAATTGAGCTTTACTTGCCTCATCAACACCACTCTCGACCTGGAGAGCTTGACCAAGTCCCATCAATTGCTCACGGATAATCCCGGCAGAGATGATCTCGCCCGACTCCTCCAGGGCGCCTTCATAACCATCAACCAATATCTTGCCTTTCATAGCCCTATCTGCGAAATACTGATTCCCAGAAAGATATGTTGAGATTCCATTTTATTCCAATGTTTTTGGTATAACAGGAAAATGAAGCATATCGAGCTATACATTTTATCGGGATGAGGTTCCGACAGATAAGAAATATATCGGCTCCTCCGAGCGGGGTCCCTTTATATCCACTCCAGCTAAGTGATAGCCGAGAACGGAGGGGAAGGAGAGATACGAGCGTCAGTTTAATATATGAATTCGTAGTCCTATTCGTTGTCGTCGATCCGATCTCGGGTATTCGGGTATCTAGCAGCAGTTGCGAGTTTTGGACCCCTCTGGGGTTTCTTTATAACGAATAACGAAACCAGTTATACCATTATAGAGTCATACTCATATAGAAATGTCATCTTGTACAGCCAAGAACACCCGAGTCGGTATCATTGGTGCTGGTGTGATCGGGCTCACTAGTGCCTTGATGCTTGTCGATGCTGGATACGATGTCGTTATTGTAGCCCGAAATCTCCCCGGCGATGAAACAACGGAGTGGGCCAGTCCTTGGTGAGTAAATTGAACTCGAAAGCATTGACTTGAAAGATCCAAGTCTTATTTTGACTGTTTTCTCATACTCCAGGGCAGGGGCTTTACTTGCACCACATCCAGATACAGGCTTTAATCAGCTCCAAGAATATTCAATCAAAAAATATCTCGAATTACTGGATCATGATCCTCGAAGTGGTGTCAAAGTAAGCCACTTCTATATAATTACTATTAGTCGAATCCAATAAACTAATTGATACTCAGAAACTCAATATCACCGAGTTTTATGACGACCGTGGGGACGATTCAACAATATGGTACAAATCAATCTTGCCCGATTTCACCTCCATCCAGTCCACCGACCTGCCACCAGGAGCGACCATCGGATTCACTTACAGTGGACTGGCCGTGGACCCAAGCATGTTCCTACCATGGATCAGACAGAAACTGGTTGATCGAGGAGTAAAATTTGTACGGGGGAGCGTGGGATCATTCCAAGAAATGAAGAATCTAAGCCAGGCCAGTATCGTGGTGAACGCATCAGGATTGGGGGCGCGAGAGCTTGCTTCAGATGATAGCTCGATATCCATTCGAGGCCAGACTATGCATGTTCGAAGTCAGGGTGACTTTGACCGCGCTGTTATTCGACAAGGATCACAGTATACCTATGTTATTCCCAGGGCAAGTGGGGGCGTCATCCTCGGTGGTGTTAGTCAACCGGGGAACTTCGATGTTGACCCTGATATGGCTCTGCGAGCGGATATTCTCAAGCGAGTCAATAATATGACGAAGGGCGAGTTTGGTTGGGTTGATATCGACAAAGATGTTTCTAGGAATATTGTTGGCTTCAGGCCGGCTCGAAAGGGTGGACTTCGGGTCGAGCGAGAAGGTAATATCATTCATGCTTATGGAGCTGGTGGTTTGGGTTATGTTTACTCTTGGGGAGTGGCGAATCAAGTTCTTGGCTTGGTCGAAAATCACTATAAAGCGCATATATAAGAATATATCTGGCTAAACATCGGACAACTGGACTATAATTTCTACCCATCTAAAACTGAAACCACGTTAGGTGATGAATGCAGACATGATAACACCGAGAGAGTTACGATAGTCTGAAATAGCAAAGAGCAAACATTTGAACATGCCCTATAGGAACTGTGGGATTGCAATGGTATATGAGATCAAAAATACCTTAGTCATATTGGAAATATGAACGTCTAATATCAAAATAAGCCCCAATATCCACTATCATGCTTAACTAGGTATGGAAACGACTACCGTATTTCTTTTCTTGTAATATTGTCAGTCTCCTCATTTTCCTATACCCACTCCTTTATCCATATCCAGCTCTCACGGACGAGAACGGTGGTTCTTGGTCTTAAGTTTCGACGTTACACATAGGGAGGCGACTCGAGTGGTAACTGGTATGAGCCACAGAGTCCGAGAGATCCAATGCTAGGAAGTGGACTTACAGGGCTGGGCACTTTTTCTCTCGTTGCACAATAAGGCACTGCATGCCCTTGTTTGCATAGATTGTGGTGTGAGGCTTGATCCTCCTAAACCGAGAGGCTCTTACAGCACATATATAGCCTTGGTCCTTGGCATAACCTAACAGGACTACCATCAGTAGCTAAACTAGTATGTGTATTTGAATCACGAGTAGTGTGAGTTATTTAATTAGAGATGATTATCTGAAAGGAGTGTAGATCCATGTGTATTCCAAGATTAGCCTCAAGGATTGTCTAATGTAGTACACGACCAACAATTCTTAGCTAGACAAGCTGATTGATGTCCTGTATCAACAAATTTCATAAAGTTGGTTTGACTTGGCAGAGTGCAAGTCACGCGTAAGATCAAAAGCCAATGCCTTTTGCTCCAATCTAGCTGTAAAACAATATGCAGTGGATGGTGCTCGATCTCAGTCATACAAACGTGTCATTTCAAATGTTATCATCGTACAGACAAGGAGAAGTCATATGAGGTCGATTTAGTAAAAAGCCCAGATTCTAAGGGCAGATAGATATAAATACCACCATATCGACCGCTAGTCTGAAGATTCACACTACACACAATTGACTCTCTGTTCATCATCAACAACACCACTTCTACCATTCTAAGGTCTCCATCAACTATCTTTATTCACAATGGTTGACGCTGCCTGTCGCATTGCCGGAAAAGAAGAGATCTATATCTTCGCCGGCCGGCATTATGGTCGTGTCAGGTTTAACAAAGGAGGCCCCGAGCATAGTCTTGTTGCAGGCCCAACCCTCCTAAGCAAAGGCTGGAACACTCTGCCCAAGATGGGCTTTGGCACAGTGGACACTATTGTGCCTGTACCTGGCCAAGAAAAACAACTCTACGTTTTCTTTGGAGGCCGATATGCCAAAATCAAGCTTGAAAACTACGATGATAGCTTCGTCAATAACGGGGCCAGTCTTATTACCTCTGGATGGAAGTCGCTCACTCAAGCGGGCTTTGACACCGTGGATGCAGCAATGCTCACCCCCGGAACAAAGAACGAGATGTACTTTTTCCGTGGCTTGCACTATGTTCGTTTGGATAATAGTACCGACAAAATTGTCAATAAAGTTGCACCTATCGCAGAGGGCTGGCCGAGTCTTGTTCAGGCTAGCTTTGATCGTATTGATGCTATTGTTGCGAGCCCGAGCGTTCAGGATCACTACTATGTCTTCCTAGGTGATCAGTTCGCGGTGATCAAGGTGGATAGCTCCCGAAGGGACACCCTCGTCTCACCCCCGAAGGCAATCAGCCCGGCATGGCAGGCTTTGGAAGGATGGGTTTAGTTGGATTATCAACGAGACGAGTGGTGATTCTGTCGATTGCAAAGTAAAAGGCCATGTGCTGCGGCTCAGGTTATTCAGATCACTCTTGTGCTTCTTTTTTTCGGGCCTTAATTTTTCATTTTACATGTCAAAATTGTTGATATCGTGCTTGGAAAAATGTCGCAGGCAGCTAGCAACCCCTGACACAAGGTGATAGGATGCAGATTCTTCACTATTTCTAATCTAAGTATGCGTGGAAAGGAAGCTTCTTGAATATAACCCCGTGCGACTACTATGTGTATGAGAAAGTTGGATATAGAATAATTCGCTCTAGTAATGGTAATCCGATCGAGAAATAATAAGTTTAATGGTTCAAATATTAATTGTCTCCCTTGCCATCTCATTTGAAGTGAATAGTGCATGAATATGATATACTTAAATTCCTTAAATAGAGGTGATGACTTGAACACTAACCAACGTTTTAACCGGGATTCTTTTTTAAAACAAAGAGACCAGATTAGATATAAACCAATAATAGGTCTCCGTGGTTTCTTATTGTTTAAACTTCACAAATGAAACTGTCACTTCGTTCACTTAGGGCTTGGCTCCCAGGTGACGCTTGGCAAACGTCAAACGTCATGTGATGACTTGGAGAAGAGCCGCATTTCTCGTTGTTGGTTTCACCTCTACGCGCGCCCGTCTATCACGAAGGTCTCAGACTCTCCTCGCTAACTTCCGCCCCTGGGGAATTGTTCACCCCGATGGGTGGATCCGTTGCCGCCTTTGAAGACAGTGGAAGCTGTCAAGACACGCAACGATGTCATCTCCGAGCGGAGCGGCCTCTTACAAAAAGAAAGATGGGACCCTAGCTATATCCGCAGATGAGAAGTCAGTCTCATGGAATCCTGCGGTTGCAGGGGCTGGGAACACGATCACAATCCCCGTGGTCAACATCACTAGTATGCAGTCACTCCCTGGCCGGCACTCGTTCTCTTGCTAACTCGCGCGAATGCTAGATCTACAGCAGACCCCAGCCTCGAATCCGAAAGTGATGCTCAAAATCTTTGCCCAAGCTCCCGATGCGCCGCCCAATAGTACCCCCGATCAATATGTCTTCCTGTTCACGGCTGGAGCAAACGCCCGTCCGCAGGCCGATGTCATCAAAGACACATTGAGTGCCCGGATCAATACTGCGAAGGCCAGCACACCATCCCAGACACCAGGGCCTAGAGGAGGTTCTGAGGGTCTGTCAGCGGCAATGGCGATTGCAAACGCTGTGACATCCGCCGGGACATCGAAGAATCCTTTGGACGACGAGAATAAGCTTCGGTCCGACATAGAGCTACAGCAGTCGTTATTGAGATCTGATTCGAATTTACAGCGAATGTTTTTCGAGGGGTTACATACAAAACCGGAAGCCTTGTCGTCTGGGTCGTTCGTATCACAGTTCTGGTCAACACGACTGCATTTACTGCGGGCGCACGCAATCGAACAAGGCCAAACCCGTGGCTCATATAATGTACTATCTTCACTCAAGCCTCGAGTTGAAGATAACGTGACACGATTGAACATCAGCAAAGAACAAATCCAGCTCATCTTCACTCAACATGCACTGGTCAAACGCGTGTATGACGAGAATGTGCCGAAACTCAGCGAGCAACAGTTCTGGTCACGATTTTTCCAGAGTCGGCTGTTCAAAAAACTGCGCGGAGAGCGGATTACGGAGGCCGACGCAACCGATGCTGTGCTGGACAAATACCTCCAAACGAATGAGGCTGCTCGGCCAGACCGGGACACAAATATCCATCACTTTTTGGATCTGGCTGGCAATGAAGTAAACCACAGCCAACGTCGCGGTAACCGACCTGACCTAGATATGAGACCCTCTGGCGTCGACAAAGTGCCCATTATCCGGACACTGAACAGCCTGAGTGAAAAGATCATGGCTAATGTGGCTCCGGCCGACGGTGACATGAGTGCCCCTATAGGCATCAACGAAGAGGCATGGAAAAAACTCCAGCTGCAGGATCTTCGTGGAGAAGAAGAGCAAAGTCGGATTACTTTGAATATTCGTGATCAAAGTCGGTTCTTCACTCATGGCCAGGAAGAGGATAAAACCAAGCAATTTACGAAACAAGATCCGGACCAGCTCCTTCAGATTCTCCGTGCGGAGATTAATCAAAGTCTCCCCTCGCAGGGCAATACACAACTAGGCAAGTTAGTGGACCCCGGCGATGACGAAGACGAGGAGATGGAGGATGCACCTGCTAGCCGTCGACCTGTCGGATCATCTGCCGCTCTACATGATGCATTTTCTCAGATCTTAGAAGCATTACGCGAACGCCGTGCACAGATGGATGAGCGAGCAACATCAGAAACGTATGGGCTGTCGACGGCGCTCTTTGACCGCTTGACATTGACACACGCCACAACTACGGAGTTTTTGCATCAATTCTGGCAGGCGTTTCTCTCGGGCAACCCCGACCGTGCTGGAGAGGTCGCGTCTTTGGCAGAGTCTCTTCAGCGAGCAGCAGAGCGTATTAAGGCTGTTGCCAATGACGCAGAGGCTGAGCGGAAAGTCGAAGTTGACCGGCTAAAGAAGCAGGCCCGTGACATGTATGAGAGCACCGGGCGAAAATTACGAGTCAACTTAGAAGGCGTGGAGGGAGGCCAAAAGGTTGTGAACCAGCTTCTTGGTCCTACATTCCTCGCACTGGAGGTCGCATCGACTCGATATCAAAAAGAACTGGCCGAACAAAATAAAGAAGCGGCCATGGCTATGGCTAGTCAAGAGATGGCAGGGACATAGAAGGGAACAACCCGGGCGTTTGATAATGGGTACGGGATGTATAATATGATAGTTTACAAGAGCTTCAATGTTTGATTCATAAAGAGAATATGAATCTCGATATCTCATTAATTTACTTGTAAAATGACGTAGAAAGCTTGTAGAAACTAAATAAAGTCGGCATGCCGAGCTTCCCCGGACTTCGGGAATTTAGTGCCATCTGTCCCCTCTACTACACTGAACTTTCTCCAACTCACCTTCTCCCCCCACTTTGGATGATTCCCAAGCCAGAGTCATACTAAACAAGAGAAAAGTATAAGGGGCCTCAAAATGCTCACCTCCGGCCTCACAAATGCGCCCCTCACCAAATCCCTCCTCATCTACACCATCGCTTCATCGGTCGCCCTCTCCCTCTTCGACATAAAACACCTCGTCGTGATCCATGTATCACCTCATTTCTGGCCCTATGCCCAGTTCTGGCGTGCATTGATATGGCAGGTCGTCGGTTTCACCAATTCCACCGAAGCCCTCTTCGCCGCGATGCTAGTCTACCATCTACGGGTTGTTGAACGCGCGTGGGGGAAGCGGAAGATCGCGGTTAGTCCTTTGTTTCTCTCATTATCCTCGTTCCCGAAGATATGCATACACATATTCGACCATGGAACGAATAATCTAAACAGTGTCTATCATATATGTCCCGGAAACCAATTGCTGACACCATGATACTTGTTACAGACCTTCCTGCTCACCACACTACCATACACGACTCTCCTCCCACCAATTCTCCTCGCCCTCCTAATCCGCCCTCTATCCCTAAATAAAATCAATTACCTCCCCTCCGGCCCAACAGCAACGATCTTCGCCCTGTTGGCGCAGTACTACGCCACTATCCCACACACATACCGCTACCGCATCGGGTCCACATCCTCCCCCGCCACAACAAACACCCCCAATAATGAACCCTCTTCCGCCGACAATACCACACAGGCATCCCAACCCAAACCCCCAACACCAAGTCTATCCCTCCTCCTCTCTGACAAGTCAACCACCTACATCGTCGCTGCCCAGCTAGCCCTCTCCCAGTTCCCCGCAATGCTCCTCCCATCAGCCCTGGGCTGGATCGTGGGTGTAGCATGGCGCGCGGAGCTGTTACCGGGTCTATCGCCGGTTAGCACCGGGTTCCGGGTTCCGGCTTGGTTGGTTGGCGAGCAAGAGCGGAGGGGTGGCTCTGGGTCTGGGTCTGGTGGTGCGGAGGGAGAGAGGTATGAGGATCTCCGACGGAGGTTGGAGGGTGAAGTTGCTGCTTCGGCTTCGGGGTTGGAGGGGTCTGGTGTGCAGGCTCAGAGGCGCGCGAATAGTGCTGCTGAGGGTAGTGGGTTTGTTAATCGATTGACGCGCGATTGGTAGAGATTACTTGTTTGTTTTTTTGAGTTAGGTATGCAAGGCTGGTTGAACATGTCTATCTGGTATAGATGTACTGCGGACAGTTGAGATGGATTATTGGGTGCTATTAGATATAGCCCGTCTTCAGAGCCTTATTTTTATACCTTCATCGATCAATTCATGTGGCATCTCCACGGTTGCAATTCTCATCTCCAATTCGCATAGGTATACAATACTGTACAACATTCGGTGATGAAAAAGACAGGTAGGTAGTGAAGCGAAAAGCCAGACAATATCTGCAAATGCATAAAGTCTAGAATATCAACTAGCAAGGCCGTATCTCCGCTAGAGTATGTGCCTATTGAAAACACCACATAACGCCATATCATCAATGTCTATAACCTTGAACGGGACATGCTACCGCCCATTGCGACTCCGTCTCATATTTTCCTTGCACTCGTTACAATACCATTTCACTAATAGAGACTGTTAGCAACCTGGATGATTTCAACAAGGAAAAGAAGACACTTACCATTCTTCCCAGGCGGTTTCGTCAAGCCCACACAAGACAGATGGAACCATTCACGCGGACAGGCGTCATTATCACAAGCAACCATCTCGCCGAAACTGATTTCGTTACAGTAACAGTAGCGCGGCTCGCCTTCCTCGTCTTCGTCGTCGCCCTCGTGAAGCGACTCGTCGTCGGAGGGTATTATAGGCTGCGGGATGGGCTTCTTCTGGGTTCGTTTGGTAGATGCCGAATCTCGACTTCGCGTGGGTCGTGGTTGGCTGGGCTCTGTGAATGCGGGGAGAATAGGGGTCGATGTCTTGGAATTGCGTCCCTTGGTCATTTCGACCTCGGCGGAACCGGCTTTTCTATCCAGATCCTCGCGCTTGGATCCCGCTGGAACGGATGTTCTACCGTTGACATCACCATCATAGTCACGGTGTGTTTCTGCGTGGATGAGTTCGTTTTTGATGGGTCCGTCCCGGGGTGTAGACCTGGAATCGGCAATTTTGTCTGCGTAGGGGATATGGTTAACTAATAGTTCCGGGAAGGGTGGTTGAAACGGCATACTGTTGTTGGGAAGATTCGAAGCCGACGATGATGGCCGTGCGCGCGAATTTCCTGTAGGTCCAGAATTCTGTTGGGCTCGTGAAGATTGTGGCCTTGCTGTGTTGGGTCCTGGACTTGCGGCACCCCGCGGTCCACTGAATGTTCCAACCAAAGGTGATGGGGCCAGAACGGGCGATGCAGCATTGGAAGCGTTGGCCCTAAAATAGAGTTAGTTGAATGCAGGTAGTGAGGGCAGCTAAATGAGACATACTTTTTGCGTGCAGTAGCAGCCTGATTGGGAGCGCGGGAACGCTTCTTCTCTGCTGGGTCCTTATTCGCAGCTCTTTGGCTCACAGCGCCGCTGGCAGAGCGCTCCATTGGAACACTAGTGTCTACCGGTGGTGGTCGTTCCACCTTCCGACGCTTGGGTGCAGCGCTCGGGTCAGCCGCGTGATCTCCACCTCGAGATTTCGCATTATTCGTCTTGCGGGTGCCCGAGCTGCGGGTATCTTCGTAGTCCGCATCGGCCTGCGCCCGACGTTGTTTCCGGGCCAGAACAGCGTCGCGCCGTGCCTCGCTGCGACTCGCGGCTTCGGCCTCTTGAAGCACGTGCGACAAATCCTGCCTTTGCGCCACTGCTTCCCGGCGCGGGCGTTCGTTAGTCGCTGCCTTCGCGGTACTCTTGTTGGAGTACGCCCAGTGTGTCAGGCTGCCTAGGCGAGCCTCCTCGCTGATCTCGCCTGCAATGTATGGGAACACAGTATCCAGTCGGACAACCTGGCGATCTAATTCCTCATTCGCGTTCGAAATGACATGGTTCTTCTCATCGGCAGTCATCATCAAATCCGAGAGACTTTGGCGTACACGATCGAAGAGAAGCCGGCGGTTTTTGCTCTCAGATGATTCCGATGACTGAGATAGCTCCTGGCGCAAGAGAGACGCTATCAGTAAACGTCCAAAGTACATAATCGGACAAATCGCGGGGGAAACTCACCTTGGGCAAAACATCCTCCCGAATCACACCCCCAACGATAGGCGCCGGGTGGGGAGGATGAGGAACGGGCTGTGACTGGGAGGAGAACTGGAGTAGCTGTAGCAAATTTTCCTCGAGAGCCCACGCCTTCGCATCAACTTCCTTGAGAAGAGAGTTGTGTCGACGGAACTCGCGCGGAAGCGCTGTTATAGCATCGGTGAAATGCGTGAGTGCAGGGTAGAAGCCGTGGGGAACAGGGGGCGTAGAAGGAATTTCAGCTGTCGAGCCTCGACCGAACGCGAAAGATGACCGTCCGATGGTTTTGGAGGTTCGGGACGGGTTTGTACGTGTCTGACGGGCGGACTGTCGAATTCCTTGGCCCTGGGGATTATTGACAGAGGATGAGACGGCGGCCATGGTAAAAGGCATAGTTGGGACTGCGAGATGCGCCGTTAGAGGAGGGTTGAGGTGAGCCTACCCCAATTTGAGGAGGAGATAGTAAGTTTTGAAGAACCAATGGTGTTCAGCAATGATCTGAGACCATGTAAAATAGTCAACAGCTCGTGTAGCAACAGGGAAGCATAGATAGAGGAGAAGCTGCCTCTGGGAAGTTTGAGTGCGGAGAAGAGCAATCGAATCAGGTGAGATTGCTGCCTGCGGCACCGATAAGGCATCCACTGCTGAATCATCCGAGCACGAGGGTGATGTCATATCAAGAACAATGTTGATGTAGTAGTCAGTCACACTTAACAGTCAATATGAGCTATTGCTATATAAAACGTCAGACACAGAAAGACAAGGACAGGTTTTCAAAACTCAACGATTTGTGTATTTTACATATAGCATGAATTCTAGGTATAGACGGGGACTTTACATTAGGACAACCAAAAGACTGCCCTAGCATGGTCTATGACTGTGAACCTAGGACACATCGATAACACACAAAAGAAATCAGTACAATAAAAGAGGTAGTACAACACGGAATTACACGCTAGGTTCTAGGAAGACCAATGAATATATGACACCCAACTCAATGCAAGTGTCAGTGCAAGATCCCAAGTAGCTCATCAACAGAAGCTTCGACTGAGGCGTTTACTCGCCCTTGAGGTGATCCTGGTGAACAGAGAAAGCATCCTCCAGGAGCTCCTGCTCCTCCTTAAGGTGGACGGCCTTCAGACCAGTAGCGACGGAAGCGCTGCCAGCGCGACCAGCGTACAGGACATGGCGGCGGTTGTGGTGCTCAGTAGCGTTCAGCAGGGTCTCAATACGGGGCTGGGCGTAAGACCAGGCACCGGCGTTGAGAGGCTCCTCCTGGCACCAGACAATGTTCTTGGCGTTGGGGTAGCTGTCAAGGTTCTCCTTCAGCTGAGCCCAAGGGAAGGGGTGCAGCTGCTCAATACGGGTGATGGCAGTGTTGCGGATACCGTTGGCCTCACGGTGCTTGCTCAAAGCAGCGTAGACCTGTCCGGAGCACAGGATGACACGCTCGATCTGCTCAGGAGCGTCGATAGCCTCAGTAGCGTGAGCCTCATCAGGGATGATCCACTGGAAGTGGGACTCGCCGTCCAGGGCCTCAATGTCAGAGCGGGCAATAGGGTGACGCAGCAGAGACTTGGAGAAGAAGATGACCAGAGGCTTGCGGAACTGGCGGTGAATCTGGCGACGGAGGATGTGGAACAAGTTGGCAGGGGTGGTCATGCAGGCAATCTGCATGTTGCAGTCCTGGTGCTGACGGTCCAACTTGTCAGCCTCGGGGAAGACACGGGGCTCCTCGTTGCAAAGCTGGAGCCAACGTTCCATACGTCCGGAAGAGTGCTCAGGGCCCTGGCCGTCATAACCGTGGGGCAGAGACACAACCAGACCGGAACGCTGCAGCCACTTGGATTCACCGGAGGCGATGAACTGATCAATGATAACCTGAGCGTTGTTGGCAAAGTCACCGAACTGAGCCTCCCACATGACAAGGGCGTTGGGAGAGGTCAAAGAGTAACCGTACTCGAAGCCGAGACTAGATTGTATGTTAGGATCGTTGTTACGCGGGGAGTTCCAATTTGAAAAACTTACCAACCGAACTCACTCAGGGAGGAGTTAGAGATGACGAAGCTTCCCTGCTTGTCAGAAATGTGCTTCAGGGGAGTGTAGGTGCGCTCAGTCTGCTGGTCGTGGAGGACAGCGTGGCGCTGGGAGAAGGTACCACGCTCAACATCCTGACCGGAAACACGGACGTGGTAACCCTCATCAACAAGCGAACCGAAGGCGAGAGCCTCAGCAGTGGCCCAATCGATGTTCTTGCCCTCATCGACGGCCTTCTTGCGTCCGCTCAAAATACGCTTGAGGTTGCGGTGGAGCTCGAAGCCCTCGGGAACACCAGTACCGGAGATCTTGTCAGCAATGTGCTGCAGAGACTTGGCAGGAACGGCAGTAGGCAGGTGAGGCAGGACCTCATTAGCCAGCTCCTTGGGAGACTTGAAGTTGTTCCAGGCGGAAGTCAGCCACTCCTTTCCGGTAGGCTGGTAGTCCTTGCTGCGGTCGAAGCTATCGCCGAGCATTCCCCAGACCCACTTCTTGTGCTCATCAATGTCCTCCTTGGTGAAGGTACCCTCGGCAATCAGCTTCTCGACGTACTTGTCAAGCTGAGCCTTCTGCTCGGCAATGCGCTTGTACATCAGGGGCTGGGTGAACGAAGGCTGATCGGTCTCGTTGTGACCCTGCTTACGGTAGCAGACCATGTCAATGACAACGTCACGCTTGAACTCGGCACGCCAGTCGGCAGCGACCTGGCAGACGTAGTTGACAGCCTCAACATCGTCGGCGTTCACGTGGAAGACGGGAGCGTCGATGGACTTGGCAATGTCGGAACAGTAGGGGGTAGAGCGGGAGTAACGGGGATCAGTGGTGAAACCGATCTGGTTGTTCACGACAAGGTGGATGGTACCACCGGTCGAGTAGGCCGGAAGGGAGTGGAATCCCATGGTCTCGTAGACAACACCCTGGCCAGCAAAGGCAGCGTCACCGTGCAGCAGAACACCCATGGCGGAGTCGTAGTTAGTCTCGTCGTTGTTGTAGTGCTGAATGGCACGAGTCTTTCCGAGAACAACGGGGTCCTCGGCCTCGAGGTGAGAGGGGTTGGCAACCAGAGACAGCTGCACCCGCTTACCGGAGGGAGTAGGACGCTCGAAGTTCATACCCAAGTGGTACTTGACATCACCGGAGCCCTCATCGGAAGGCTCGGCAGAACCGGCAAACTCGCTGAAGATGGACTCATTGGGCTTGCGGACAACGTTGGACAGAACGTTAAGACGACCACGGTGAGGCATACCAATGACGATGTCCTTGATGCCGTAGTCGACGCTACGATCGATCAGAGCCTTCATACCGGGGACCAGGGTCTCACAACCCTCCAGACCGAAACGCTTGTCGTTGGGGAACTTGGTAGCGAGGAAGGCCTCGAAGCTGGAAGACCAGATGAGACGGTCAAGGATGCGGCGCTTGTCGTCAACCGAGTAGTTGTAAGGTTGGGGGATCTCGAAGCGGTCACGGATCCACTCGCAGGGCTTGCGATCGGGAATGTGAATGTACTCAACACCGTAAGAGCCACAGTAGATCTTCTCGCAAGCGGCGATGATCTCGCGCAAAGTCATCTTCTTGCGGGTCTCGGTGATAAAACGGGGCAAGATACCGGGTCCGAGGGCAAACTCCTGGTTCAAGTCACTCTCGGTGAAACCGTAGTGGTCCAACTCAAGCTCCTTGGGCTTGTCGTAGCCAAAGGCCTCAGCCTCTCCGCGAATGCCGAGAGGGTCGATCTTAGCCTTGTGGTGACCACGAGCCTGGTAGGCGCGGCAAAGCAACTGAACCTTCAAGTGGTTCGTCACGTCAGCGCCACCAGCGAGTCCCTGGCCGGGCATGTCCTGGGGGACACCGCCGGTAGGGGTGGGGACGAGGGTAGGGGGGAGGAGTGAAGGCCTGGGAGATGGGCATTTTGCCCTCCTCCATGTTCTTGAAGTAAGTCTGCCATGAGATGTGAACACTCGAGGCATCGTTCTTCCATGCCATGTACATCTCATCGATGTAGTTGGCAGTACTACCAGTAAGGAAAGAATCGTTGGGGTCCTGTTCAGGTAAGGGCGAGATCGCGCCGTCGCATTAGTCGAATGCCCGTTTGTATATTTGGATTATCGGAAACCCGGATCAGATCGCTACCGATCACTAAGATTGTTGTTGCTTACCACTCCTTGACTTTGGCCCTCCGCGGGGGCCGCGTAGGACCGGGCGCCGTTGAAAGCACGGTCGACAACAGCAAGAGGCCGACGGGCGGTCATGCTGAAGCCGGAGCTTTTTGAAGAGCTGCGAGCGCTAGTGGCGAGGTGGAACGAGCGCCGGCATGATGAAGAGGTCGCGCCACGCAGCATACCGCTGTTGGTGGCCTTGAGAGCAGTGTTTCTAAACATTGCGGGATTTTTCTTGGATCAAGGTCCAATAAAGTTTTCGATTTAGAGGAAAGGGGAATTGGAAGACGGTTGTTCAGGATTCTGGCGAAATCAGACGTTATAGGGTCAGATTCACTATGTGTTATAATGTCAGCCTGAATGTTGCCAAGTTGTCCTGCAGGGCGCGAGCAAACCGGAATACGGAGGAAAGGCAGAGGCGTAAGTACACGTACGAGTTAAATCACAGATCAGGTGTCGACTAGTATTGCCGTAGCACCTGTATAGAATCGGGACTCATCAGAGAGCTCAAACGCTCTAGATAAGAAAATAAGGTGTGGGGGTAGAGTAAAGATGAAGCAAAAGAAAGAGCGCAAAAGGAAGAGAGCTGCCGAGAATGACGGGTCTCACGGCAGGTGAGGCTGGTGCGCTGACTCAGCCCGACTTACAGCCGATGCCCGGGGACAGGCGCCACTTTCGTAGTGAAGGACCTCGGGAGGCGCCCGACTAAGCCTGTTCTTTGGAGGTCCGGCTAAAGCATTCGGGCCCTCTTGCGGGAGTTTTCGGCCCAATGGGACTAAAATGGATTACTATTAATCATGGATCTCCCGCCAAGACCTGTTTTGTTTTACTTTTTTTGAGATCTGGTTCGATCTAAATTTAATGTCTCGATTCAGATTAAAGATCCGTATTAATATTAACATCTAAACTATAGAACATTTGATAAATTCATGAAATCGTGACAATGCGAAATCACCGCACAAACAGGCATACTCAATATGCAGAGAAATAATAAATCATTATATCCAAACGCGGGAAATCAGGCACCATATTACAAGACATTAAGTCACTGAGGTGCACTGGTGGGTATTTCTTCAGACTCTGGCTGCCCCGACAAGGGCGAAGCAGTACGTGGGTGGTTATCGTCTTGCAAATGACCGACAGCATTTGAGGCCGCCTCATCGGGACTAAAAGGCCTCGCTTCAGAAACCGTTGGACTTGCTTCAGCACCATTCAAGCTGGCACGGTGAGAGGGCGGAAGCGTATGAGGTGGTGGACTACCTGCACTGCTGCGCAGGCTACCGTTGCTCCCACCCCAAGCTCCCCGGCGTAGCTTCATGAGTGCGCTCAGCGACATTTCGTCGTCGAGATTGCCCATGTCAACCAACTGCGCCAGCCCAGGGCTCGCTAGAGCTGAATTTGGATGTGTACCGCCGTGGGCCTTGACCGAGATCATAGAGTTACGTGTGCTCCATTCACTTCGTTCGGTGATAGGGGTCAAGCTGGGCTCTTGGAATTTGCCGCGACTGCTGTGGTTCCGTGTGATCCCTTCGACCCGTCGTGGACCAAAGTACCCACCGTTAGTTAACTCAGAGGTGCCATTGCCATCTGCTTGTGCGTAGAAGCCGAACTCTTGGCCGTAGAAGCCATCGTCATCGTTCTCAAGAGCTTCGGCGTTAGCAGCAGCAACGATTGCGTCGTCGAAGTACGGATCATCGTTATCATCATAAAAGTGATCGTCGTAGACCTGATCATCGAAGACGTCTTCGAAGGCCATGGCATCTGCAGCTTGGCTGATTCGGCTGTCATCAGAAACCAGACCTGGTTGCGAGTCTATTGTCTGCGATGTTTGAGCTGCGCTGTCTTGCCCTTGCGATGCTTCGCTTGTGCTGAACCTGCGCTCGAATCGCGCACTATATGATGCTTCGTTGGCTGCGAACGCTAGAGCATTGTGCAAAATGTCTAGATTTTGCTCTGTAAGCACACCACCACCATGGGCACGGACAGGGCCCATATTTGGTATTGGCTCGCCGAGGGGGCCACGCTTGACCGATCCTGTGACCCGATAGTCACTAGCAACACTAGACATGTGCTGCAGTCCTTGGACTCCTTTTTCTGCCACGGGGCTTTCTTTCCCTTCCAAGGAGTCATCCTCGCCCGGAGCAGCGGTGCCCGTTGGTAAAGGTGCCGGAGGGGCACCGACTGGTTTCCGTTCGTATAAATGACTGTTTACATCATCGAATATAGATTCATCAAATCCACCGTCTTGGTTTTCGACATCGAGATCTCCGAAATCGCCATCATCAAAATAGAGATCATCATCGTCGTCGAGGATTGGGGCCGCTTGTTTCGCAATCGGAACCTGGGGAGTGGTGGATGGTATATCAGTTTGGGCAACTAGGGACGGTTGTTGCCCTGGCAATTGTTGGTTGCGGGGATCGTCTACTTGTGTGGCCTCAGAGAGATGAGAGGTAGAGTGAGACGTGTTTGTGGGTTCTGGTGGTGCAGCAGTGACTGGGCTAGCAACCACGGGTGACAATCCTGGGATCGCCCAGCTCTTGGCTTCATTGATGTTTCGCGAAACTGAGAAATCATCGTATTCGTCATCATCGGCATCTGCATTGACGCCGGGAATCCTCTCCTCCAGACCATCCAGGTCGTCCATCATGTCATCATCGAAGTCCTCGTCGAAGTCATCAAAGTATCCATCCTCCATTCTGCGCGAAGCTTCCTTCGCCTTATGCTTCTCTTCTAGCATTCTCTCTTGTGTAGATGATTCTACTCCGCTCATATCGAAGCTGAATCGAGAGGCATTGCTCTTGAGGTGTCTCGGTAAGGCTGAGGGATTGAAGGGTACATTAGGGATAGTATCTTGGTCTTGAGGGTGCTGAGGATGAGCATGGGAGATTGCTTTGGGTGGGCTTGGGGGAGGTCCCTCGGTCTCTGACTTAAGTTGCTTTGGGGCATCTACAGCTCTGTCTGGTAGATGAGAAGGCAAGTTCCGCGCAAAGACCGGTAATGTGCTGTCATAACCAGGCTGTGATTGGCCTGTTAAAAGTGAAGACTGGAGATATCCCTTATTTTCCACCTGTAGAACGTTCTGGTCCTCAAAATGTTCCTTGAAAACAGGCGAATGGTCACTGTGCCGTTTTGCCTGGTCATTCCAGTGGGCCCCACGCGGTTGACTAGGTATTTGTGGTGGTGAAGTATCCTGCCCATTCACAACTGTATCCTGTTGGGTAGCCGAAAGATTGCGGCGAGGCCGGGGCGCCGAGAAGTCGTGAACGATCTTTCCACGAATTCTGGGATCATAATCATCTGGCATGGCAGGCACGTTCCGGTTCTTGATTTTGACATCTTCTGCCCGGGAGCTAACCAACTGCGAGGAGCGCCTGCGCGCAAGAAGAGACATCGGATTTAGGAGATGGAACATCGCCTTGCCCGACTTATGATGTGTCTGCTCTACAGACACATCACGATCTCCGGTGCGCCGGGCAGTTGTGCTACCATCCACCTTGAAATCCTTCTGTGGCAATGTTTGTTTATCCGCGGGCGAATTGTCGGGTGAGCTTCTGAACCGGAAATGACCAGAGCCGGCTGCCGCAGTTGGCGATCGTTTCTGCAATCCAAACGAACGTCGAAAAGGCGAGCTTGATTTGGAATTCGACTCTCCGTCTCCTTGGTCAGACCGTAGAGCCGTCACAGACAGTTGAGAATTATTCAACTGGGATGTAAACTGTTCTTCCCCGCAGTCGCCGGGACTGGAATGAGGACGGCTTTCTTTTTCGGCTGCCGGCGATGGGACAGCAAGAGTAATCGAGGAGGATAGCGGCGCGACCGATGGGCTGATGTTGAGCTTGGAGGTATCGATGTCCAGCGGCGAGTCGTTCGAGGGGCGGCCATCGGGTGAGTTCCCGTCGAAGGTAGTGGTGAGGGTCGGTGTATCCGGAATCTCTGGGATCTGGGGAGGGCTTATAATCGGGCTTCCATTCGCCCCTTTGACATGTGAGGGCGCGGGGATTGAAGCAGGCGACACGGACGAACGTCGATGGTCTCGGCGCCAGTACGAGAAGACAGTAGACGGCGGCATGGTTATTTGAGGCCCTCACGGCGCCAGATTGAATCGCAAGTATTAACAAGGGGCGTAATAGTCCATTGCATTTATCAACTGCACGTGGGTGTTGAACAAAGACGCTGTCATATATAGACAACTGGACCGTGGGGGAATGCAGAACCCACCCGTCAACTTTCCAAGGTTCTTAAGTCTCGAACTTTGGTAAGCCTACTAAACTCGATTTGACGAAAAAATAGAGGTAATGCGCAGTACATTTGCCAATCGATTTTCATATCTATTTATATCAAAGAGTTAAAAAAAAAAAAAGACCAAAGTAACGCGCGGCTAAAAGTTACGTTACACTCATCTTGCCTGCTGTAGTGTCTAGACCTAAATACAATATCGCGTCACATTCTTGCCCCTACTTCCCTACTTCTTTGTCCTGACTTTTTGCTCAGATAGGTCAAAATCCCCCGAAAATGCATGCGCTAATTCTTCTATAAATCGTACAGCTATGCTAATATGCTACATAGATATCCTTCGAGAAAAATAAATCAGAGAATGACACGCTCAGACCATATGCTATGCTAACAGAAAAAAAAACATTAAGCAAAAATTAATAGACGGTGTCAACGAATGCTTTGTCTCCAGCGGTCGATCACGTCGGTTTTGACTGGGGCGGGGTACTGTGCCATGTTTGAAGTATACCCATGGCCATTCATGCCCATCATCGCAGGGTTCATATGATACCCATACTGCTGTGCCATCGGGTATCCCATCTGTGGGGGAAATGTTGCATGGACATGCGGTTTCCATACTGGGACATGGTGACAGGCCGCTGATTGAAAACATCATACGACGACTGGCGATTAAGCTGGGGAGGACGACCCTGTGTAAGCGCGGCCATACTCCGACGCATGCGCGGGTTCTTGGGGGGCGCAGGTTGGGCAGCGGCCTCTTTTTGAAGTCGACTGCGTCGTTGTGCGAGTGTCTCTTCCTCATTGGGGGCGGGCACTTCTTGGGCTTCTTTGGGCGCAACTCCAGCCCGGCTGTCGATTTCAGCCATCAAGTCACTGGCGAACTTGCTCTCCGAGCGGTTATGTCCCTTCAGCCGTTGGAGTCGCTCGGCGAGGGTCTCGATCTCTGTCTCGTCGTCACTCTGGGGAGTGGGCTCAGGAACATGCGCCGGGGGCCCTGGTGCATACATTGTAACAGGACGTTGCTCCGCCTGCGGGATTGGTTCACCCCGCAGCCTGGCACGGCGTGAGCTCAGAGGCTCATTTTCTTCTTGTTGCCGCTTCGCTAACAACCCCAAAGGTCGATTGTCATTTTCGGGATTGGCTGTTTCGGGGTACAACATAGCCAAGGGAACGTCATCGTCTTCATCCCGCCCTTCCCAGGCTAAAGTGACAGGGCGCTGCCGGCGTTTATCACTTTGCTTTTGGGCTCGTTCGTCCATTTCTAACAAAGTGGTCTGCATACCTTGGAAAGGTACAGGCACAGCCGTCCGTCGCCGGTGTTTCAACTCATGTTTCCGCAACTCCAATTCAGCGATGAGCGTGTTCGGTGGACTAACGTAATCCAACACCTCTTCTTCCTCGTCCTCTGAGTCTTCGTGTTCAGATTGTTCATCACTTTCGGTATCAGTGCCTTCCGACCTACGCTCACGGCTGTGCTCATCATGATCTCTATCCGATTCATTCCCAGCTTCCGATCCATGTCGCGAAGTGACAGGGTCCCCATGCTCGTCTAAAGTATTAGCGTTATAAGGCTGGCCAATCGTGGCTCGCGACAGACGATTTGTCTTTTCTCCTGTCGGATCTTTTGTCAGAGTCTTTCGTTTTGGTTTATTGTAGTTGATCGCGCCGGCATGACCAGCATACGGGTGATCAGTGAAAGCCGAAACAGGCGCATTCGCAGAGGCGTCCAAAATGCTCTCCAGGGTAGCAACCGCAGAGTCATGTTTAACCGCAACCTGGAGTGATGTACTCGGCTGGTCAAAAAACAAACTCGCACGGAGATGTGGTGGCACTGTCGATTTGCGTTTATCATTATGTCCATCGCGTGGGTCCTTTTTGTCGGCACCAGGTAGCATAACTGTTGACTTTCTATCCTCGGCGGCGATGGCGCCTGCAAGTTGTGTACGACGCTTATCCCGATCAATGTTCGCCTTGCGCGACAATTTCGGTGGCAGATTCAACATGCGTGGGACAGGGGCAGGATAAAACACCATATTCTCTCCTGCTTGCGGTTGTTTGTAATGTTCCGGCTTGCGGGCGAGCGGTGGCTGCTCCAAAGAAACCTGGCGACCTGGTTCCAAGGGTGCGAAATGAACGCCATCAAAGTCGGTGAACAGCGTCCGCGCTTGCTGGTAGGTATCGATCGATGCGACCGAGGCCCTGCGCTCCAACTCTGCCTCGACGGGAACTCCCTGCGGAACATATTGATCGTAATAGTAATCGCTGTTGGTATTGAAAAGGGGCTGTGGCGCTGGTAGATCAGGGAGCGCGGGAAATTCATCGACTTCATGCTCGTGTTCGTCGTGTGCAGGCTCCGAGAGCTGGGCCAGACGCGCCCCTGATACAGAGCGCTGACGCGCCGGTGACACATTCGATCCATGGGCAGAGGAAATTGTCGCTGCTGGGGAGAAGGCGCCATTCCGGTGAATGATCGAATTAGACGCGGAGCTGACCGAGCGTCGCTTTTGCTCTTGGTCAATGCGACGGATCTCGCTCTCAATGTCCGCGGAGCACGAGCTCAGTTGCTCCGCGCTTTCTTCCAACCGCGTTACATTTCCTTTGTAGGCTCCTTGTATCGACTGCAAATCCGGGGTAGGGTGGCTGAGAGGTACGGGCACCTCGCTGCATGCGCTATGGATGGGGGTCTCGGGAGAAGAATTTCGCGCGATAGACGTATTGAGTGGTGGGATGTGGAGGCTATTGGATCGCTCTTCGGGGGAGTGATCGGCGTCATAATCATCGTCCTCCACCACATCGTAGCTAGTAGAAGTCATGGAGCGGATCATCGAACCTAACTGGCCGAAACTGACGCTGTCCTCGGTTTTGGCGGTTTCTAGATGGCTTCCTCCCCCTATATGATCGGTATCAAGCGGGAGCTGTTCAAATGCATGTCCGTGAGCGGGCGAAGGGCTGCGTGATACAGAAGCGGAAGAAACAGAAGCCACTTCGTGGTCGACTTGAGCGATAGCGTTGTACGCCATAATATAGGTTTTAGTCACCGACTATCCATTCAGACTAGTTCAAATTGATAGAGTGGGTTCTCGGAGGATCAAAGGGACTCGAGATAACAAAGATACCAGACAAAGAAATGAAGCCAGACTGGATGGGAAAGAAATCAAAACCAGGGAAGTTGGGGGGTGGGATAGCGGCTAATTTTGGAAGTTTGCCGTCGTACAGCAATTTGACCCTGGAATGCCAATACCTAATGATAATCGCCAATGCTAATTATATCGATGTAATTTCCTCCTAAATCTCTCCAAAACAAGGAATTCAAGCCACTAAACCATTTTGGGGGCCTTTGCGTACATGTCTTAGACCAGTCAACACGTTCTGCACGCCCCAGGCTGATTTTGGCTCTCCACTCCGTTCCAGAGGTCTTGGCATGTGTTTTCCATATCTCCATATCTATATAAGGAAGTACTCTCTAGGGCTGTCTCAGTCAACCCCTTATGGAACCTTGGAATATACTAACTGCACTCCCATCTTTATTCACTCGTTGCCTTCCTGCAGCTTTTCCCGGTAACATGCATAAAAAGGCAACCCAAAATGGGCAATCCCGAGGTCTTCGCGTCTGAGCTGAAGTACTTGACAACCCCGGACCAATCAGGCCATCAACAGATATCGCAGTCTCAACTGTTTTTTTTTTCCATTTGATTGCATTACCCCGGGGAATCGTTGGGATCGGACTAATAACAACACATTGATTGCCCGCGTGCCCAGGTGCTCGAGACTCGAGATAGTCGCGTGACCTAACCTCTGTAGGTCGCCGATAACAAACATAATGACCTTGCATAAACCTCATCTCACACTTCTGTCCCAAAGGGGCAGAGCAGCAATTCTCTGTAGTGCTGCTGTCGGTTCAAATTTCTTGAAATAATTAAGACTGATGAACATATTTTGGGGACTCATATTTCAAATCATCACCGGCACAGAGTTCCTATTCTTTTCATAGAAATCATGACCGAACACCTCGTATCCCGGTCAAAAGCTTAACTACATCCCACATCCTTAGGAGAATTCCGGAGATCATAACAAATGGGTCCACTCATTTGTCCTCAAACTCGGGGAGATACTCTATACTCTACTAGCTGTTTATCTACGCCGAGGTTGCCAAAGCGAACTATATTATCCTCGATACAAAGTCATTACCCGAGAACCCAAAAAGAGGGGGTCAGAGCTACTCTACCCAATGTCCATGACATTCTCCTAGTCGCACTTGGAGAGATTATCGTGGGCTTTGATGACCATTGCAGTTTCTTAGATCTGGCCCTGGACGTTTTTGATCAAAGTTCCTGCAGCACAGAAGTCCAGGGGCGGCAGCCATTTTGGAAGAAATAGCTAGGCTTCAGGGAGATTTCCGGTGCTTTTCCCATTGGTCGGCTACGGGGACAAGCAGGTATATGTACTCCCCGTCTATCCTACCTAATTTCCGACTCCTAGCTTGGAGCTCGGGAGCTTTCCACGGCGGTCGAGTTATGATTAAGGCGATCACCGTTGCCCGAGACAATAAGGTTATTTTGACTTGCCGCCGCCGCTGGCATCAGGTCAACAAGTATATCCAACAAATGAAAACCAATCATTTTTCCCATCGAGACAATCCCTATGATTTTCCTCGTTATTCAATGTCAACTTACACGAATTCCCACTCTCCAAAAACGGAACTATTCTGGCTTACGTGCTAATCTGCTCAAAACCGACGCAAGGCTGTGGCCAGGTCATTCCAATATCTGGCCCTGCGCATAAAGACCAAATCACCCGTTTTTAACGATAGATAGAAGGTCCCATACATCATTCCTGGAAGTAGCAAAACTACAAAGAATATGTCCGGTATGACCCTCACTTCCTAGATATATTCCATATATTAACAGATGGAGTATCCAGAATCTCCAGACAAATCCACCCCCTCTCCGCGTGGGCGTACTGCTATTCCCAGGCTTTCAAGCCCTGGATGTATTCGGCCCAATGGACTGCATCAACGTCCTCTCATGGAGCCACAGCGTGACGTTGGCACTTATATCCTCAACTTTAGAGCCAGTAACAACGAAGTCACCGACATCCCCAAATGCTACAGGCCAAAGTGTGGTGCCAACCCATACCTTTGCAACAGTACCGCCTCTGGATCTGCTTTTCGTCCCTGGCGGCTTGGGCACGCGCGGCTCGAGCCCAGTAATTGAAGAGGCAGTCTTGTTCATCCGAAACATATACCCCCAGCTGGGCTATCTTATTACGGTGTGTACTGGCGCGGGGCTTGCGGCGCGAGCTGGGGTTCTGAATGGGAAGCGAGCCACGACGAATAAGATGGCCTGGGCTGAGATTACGGATCTGGGGGTGAATGTCGACTGGGTTCCTCATGCAAGATGGGTCGTTGATGGTAATGTTTGGTCTTCTTCTGGGGTTAGTGCCGGCATTGATGTTACTCTGGCTTGGATTGGAGAGGTCTATGGGAGTGAGGTGGCAAAGGATATCTCGGATAGCATGGAATATACCCGACATGGGGACCCTAGTCACGATCCGTTTGCTGAACTGCATGGGCTTTGAGTTGGGAACTATAATAGTGCCTATTTTCACATTTTATATTTACATCTGGAAAGTCTTAATCTGTTGGGGAATTTGATAGGGATGAAAAATTCTAGACTGTAATGAAAATATATATTCAAGGCTGACTTTTCCCAGTGTTCTCAAACGAGAAAGCTGCCTATGGACCATCTACACATCCAACTCATCGAGCTATCTCTTTCGCCATTACGCATCCGATTGTGTCAGAAAAGCAGAATAATGCAAAGCTATCTTGCACGGGAAGAAACTATCCAATCCGATCCAATGCCTTTGTATTTTCCTTCGGCAAATGAGTCCAGGCTATATTATCGAATGTTACGGCCTCAACAGCAGGAGTGGGCGTCTGCTAGGAACAAAAGAATGCTTGGAGATAGGCATACCAAAATTAGTCGAGGTCTAAGAAATTAAGCGTTCCAAAATATGCTAACTTTGGTGACATCGCTGCGTCAATTTCTATTGATGATCCTAGCGACAAGAGTATATTCAAATACACATATCACGCCGAAACGGTGTGGCGTGCATGCGTGCATGTGTGTAGTGTCACGTAGGGCACATATATGATATCCCATGCTTGAGGTTACCTAGGCAGTGACTGAGACTGAAATTCCGAGCTCGGATCCGACACGCAATATTGAATTGATTTCTTTGACCTTATAGAGGCTTTGCTCGATAATTCTGAGATTGTTAGATATAAAAGTGATTTGCTCAACAACGGATTCAGTCGCAAAGTACTAAGCACATCTGGCGATGACTTGGAAGTGCCAGATTACCCACCTAGGCAATTGAGCTATTTCCCTGACCTGTCTAGCCAGAGTCTGTTCTTCGCAGCCATTCAAGGACAGAAACAAAATGCAGATCCCTAAAGCCCCATCAGTTGTGGTAGATGTAGATGTCACCGGGTTCTCCACCAATTTGCTGTTTCGCGGGTAGCACGTGATCGCGCGCCGTTATCGACGCGCCTCAATCTCACAACTTTGCGATCAACAGAGCATGAATATTTCGACGTGTCATCATGTCTTACTATGATATTGACTCCATCCTGACAGATGCACAGGTGAGTTAGTTGCAGCTACATGTCCTTACTACGAACCCGCAAAAATGAACAATTGCTAACATCCTGGATCCAGAAACTGCCATGTACATTTGAGCTCGAAGTACCTGGACTCGGTATCCTAGAGGGCAATGCGGGCGAAGATGTGAGTTTATACTCTATTTTTTTACTGCCCGACCGCACGCTTTATTGACCCATGCACAGATCAAAGCTGGAACCCGCATTGATCTTCCACTATGGCTAGGCGAAATGCTCTCGATCGGGTAAGGTCCCACCTAGTTCAGTTTACCCAGAAGACTCGTCGTGGGGTTTGTTATTTTTCCTAACGTGCTATATGTGTTCGTTACAGAGCACGTCTAGGAACGTCCCGTCTAGTCACGCTTGACATGCCCGAAGCACTTTCGGAGCGGGTAATGAATGCACTGAAGGCAGATCCCCGCACACTTGACTTGCGCGCGTTAGCACCGCATTTCTACAACCTGAGCGAGCGGATCCTCGAGCTTTTCGAAGAAGAAGAGATGGTTGATGTTCTCGGAGATGTAGGTGGACATGATCTTCGCTGACGAAGACCGCGCATTGGCTGAGCTGGGACTAACGACCTGCCAGGCATTTAAGAAACGGGCGGCAGAGATCGCCGATCATGCGCATAACTCGCGTGGTGCAGTCGGTGGTGGGGTTGATTTCCTCCGTGGGCTGGATGAGACCGAGCGACAATGTAGGTTACGACCGTCCCCTGGATGTGTGAGTGGAGGATGAGGTTACTAACAGAGATGGATCGATAGTGTTCCGCGCTGCTCATGATCGGGCTAAGGACATGCGAATCTGGTCGGGAGAGGCGAAACGTAAGTAATAGTTCTTTGTGACGAGGCATTTCTCGTGGGCTCTGAGCTGCGCTCGCTCATGATGGTTATGATACATTTTATGCGACAATATGATTCTTTGACCCGATAGGCTGCGTGTGACGTATGACAGGATTTTAGCCTGGTCTGACTTTATTTCGTTCTCGTACTCCGTACTCCGTACTATAAGTGTATTTCAAGACTATTGAAGACTACAATTTAGCAAAATATGATAGATAGTGTTATATCAAATCTGACAGGTGAGGTCCAAATACTACGAAGTTCTCCGTATCTACTCACGGATATGCCCATGTGGAGACATGAGATCTGGACCCATGGAAACAGAATATTGATATATCAAACCATTTGTATAGGCCATTTTCATACTCATCTTTTGTATTTTTATTTCCCCCTGTTAATGAGTATATATATCAAATGAATCGAGTCGAGATAATTCATAGACAGGGATTCGTTTCTGATTATATTACGGAGTACTCCGTAAGTGCTTCAAACCATTCTGTAACCGTCAAGTCAACGTTCAGGAGAAACCCCGCGTAAGGGCCAAAGTGAGACTGCCCCACGGGCCCGATCCGATTGGTGTGATGGTGATGTTAGTTGATAGCGAATGTGAAATTGATCGTCGTGCTAAGGAGCCTATTGAATCTAGCCTCGAGGGGGCTGGAAAAAAACGAAAGAAAAGTGAAGGCATGTTTGATGTTCAACTCCATGTTTTTTCTACTCAGTCATGTTTCTTCCATTCTTCGATTCTTCCATTCCTTACTTTTCATGACAACTGTCCCTACTTCACCAAAACAAATAACTACATAAGTGGGGCCTGGGACTGCAACCCTTTTTTTCTTACTTTTTGGTGATCGACTCATCACAATTCGTTTGCGACATCACCCTCGCTTCGTTTGACTTCTAGTCCCGCCTTTTCCTCCCTTGACTCTTGGGTTTGGAACTGGGAGACCCCTCTACGCCTTGATTCGGGTCTATTGACTCTACCAAACCTACCTTGCACTCCACAGGTTCGACCGAACCGGCCTCTGATTGCTCCCCACCTGCAACACATCTGCATCCCTCGCATCGGGCCCGCGTCTTATCCACCGCCATTCAACCACCTATCCAATTGACGTCCATCTACCTGGATCCATCCGTTAATCCTCCGATGCGGCTGGTGGATTGTGCAGGAAATTGTTACCGTGGTGTCCACTGATTGTCTAGAATATTGCAGTGCTACGTCCAAACAGGGAAACCGGGGGCTTCTTGCGGCACGTCAATTATGCGCATTCGGTAAACATTATGCCGGCTGCCATTATGGATGAGAAAACTCAAAGAAGGAGTTCGGCCGCTGGTCAGCCTGCTCCTTCGCACTCCGTATATCATCCCCGGACTGCTCCTAAACGCAGCGTTTCCTCTAAAGGCCACCCATCCAGTACGTGAATTTTGGAACCTGCACCTGAATTGAGTTCCAAAACTCATGGTTAATTAATTAAAGCTAACATTGCTTCTGCCTCAAGACTTGCCAGAGCGTCCTCAGCACCCATCACTTTCCCGCGTCAAGGGCCGAGCCAATATGTTTACTCCACCTCGAATGAACGCGGAGGTCTCGTGGTTGAGAGACCAGTCACCCATTCACCAGGGCACAAGGACACCAATCCGCTCGTCTGGTATGTCTTCCAATTACCAGCAACGTTCCATGGCTCTAGAGCGCAAGTCACTGATTATCTGTGCCTCAGAAACTTCCGAACCTGGCACCCCTACGCTAGTAAACCCCGCCTCAGCCCTCTTGCAGGATTTACTGAAAGAAGAACGCGCACACCGAAGCTCCCGAGGAACCATGTCAGAGGATTACAAAGAAAATGCGCCTCAAACTCCCGAGACCACTAGAACCCAGGAAGATACGGCGTCCGAAAAAGCACGCAAAGCGAATGACGTCTTCTCTGCTGGCCAGAGAAAACCGAAAGAGATGGGTATGCGGGAAATGGACCAAGTGAGTTAAGGAGTACAAGAACCCTATGTGCACTAGCTGACTCGTTCAAAGTATGTCTCGAAAATGAACAGGCTCAATTTTGATTTGAAGCTCGAGGTCTTCCACCGCACACAACAGATGGCTGTATATGAGAAGAAGCTGGAACGTATGGCGGAGATGGAAGAACAATTGGCGCACATGGATGAATTGGTAGCAGAAGTGGAAGAGCTTCGGACCGCCGAGAAAGACAACCAGACCCTCCGTGAATCCAACGAGCAACTCCGCATCGACCTTGACAAGAGAGACATGGCTGTTACCGAAGCTGTCGAGCTCATCTGCCAGTTGGAATCGAAAATCGACATGCTCGAAAATGGTGGCCGGGGCTCCAGGCTGTCTATGTCACGCCCTATGACCGCCGATGGCTCTGAGGCCTTTGCGCCAAAATCCCGCGCTATGGTCGATATTCCGGAGAGAACCTCTTCCAAGCGAAATTCGAGTATCTTGGGCGTAGCTCAGCGCCAGACCTCATCTGAGCTACGCAAACTCTCGAAAGCACCCTCCTTCCTACGCGCGGATAACAGAAGTACTGCCACTTTGCGAAGTCTTTATGCTCCTGAAGAAGAAACCCAATCGCGCTCTGCAAGGACTGAGCTTTCGAAATCAGAGAGTTTCCACACGACCACCGAGGTTATGGAGCCTGAATCACCTAGACTGAGCGTCCTGAGTGAATGCAGCGAGCTGAACCCGTTTGACACACCTACGAGGTGGCAAGAATTTGATCAGCTCGAGATCCCTGTTCGGAGATCGCTGTCTGCTGCTGGCAGCCTGGATAGCTATGTTCCTCCCAACAGGCGGGAAGAAAGCAAAGAAGACCAGATCGATCGGTGGATCCAGTCTCGCGAAGATGTAAACCAGACTATAATCACACGACGCAGGAACCGAGCATCGTCTGATGCTACCAAGGCTAGCATCCCCAATTTTACAACGGACTTGTATGCTCCCAAGCCGCGTGGACGCGGACGACTGGATGCATCTCTTTTCGGGGGTGTCAGGCTTCCTCCCACTCCTGACACTATGAGTACGGCAGGTGCTACCGGTGCAAACCGATCGAATGGGTCAAATGGTTCGAACGGGAGCATTAGGGCCCGAAAGAGTCCACAAACCGAGCAGGATTTGTTCTTCCCTGGCAGACGAGTCAATCGTCCACGCTCTGCGGAAGAGCTGGCGAGTCACTACAGCTTCAATGGCAGCGAGGTTGACGATAGCATGCAAACGAACTGCAGTGATACTCCCCGCCTAGGAGTCACAGCCGAAGAGTCGCGCACTATCTTGCCCTCCTTCAATACTGTTTCCTCTAAAGCCAGCGCGCTTCTTGGGCCCGGAAGCCCTAACAACCCTGCCATTGAGACCTTTGGAGATCAGTACCACGCTCATGCCAACGCAGCATCAACCCCAACAATTAAACGCGCCCGAAGCCCAATCAAGGCTATGACCCCGGAGCCGCATACCGATGACCGCGACTCTTCACCACTTACACCTCAAGATTGGGTTGCAGCTGCAAAGCAGGGTCCACGGTCTCGCAAGCCTAGGCTGCGTGACACCCGCCACGAGATGCAACAGACAGAGCTATCACCACGCACTGTCGGCAGTCCCGCTACATTCCACGACAACAGTAGCATCGCTTCGGATCCCAGCGAGCCTGAGCTTCCTGGTATCCCAACTCTTGACATGACCACTCTGGACATCCTGGAACAACCCCTCGACATGGCCCAGTCACAAGTCAAACCTGGAGCCAGCCCCGAGCCCCGTCGACGCCTCAGCTTTATACCCCCATTCTTCAATCGCTCAAACAACAACACCCGTCGACTACAAGGCTCCCCAGTTCCAAATGACTTCGAAGACGACGATGAGGATGGCGCCCCATCTCCGGTAATCCCCAAAACCAGAACAATGGGCGGCGCCTCCCGAAGACCCATGTCCCAAGTAATCACCGCCCCAACCGATCTCTACCCCTCCAACCCCCCAATCCACAATGAAGAGTCACTCTCGGCCTTCAGACCGCGAGGATTTGCTCAATCCTTGACAATGTCAACACTTGCCGACCAACCTGGCTCCGCCACAGTCTCAGGACGCCCCTCCACATCCCATGGAATCGAGGTAGAACACAAGCGACGCAGCTCACTGGGTATTTTCGGCTGGATGAAGAGTAAACGCTCTGACTCTGTGACTGTCCCCGGGACAGAGAAGTCTGGTGACTCTACACAGAAAGAGAATCGCGCTCCCTCGCGTCTAGCCTACGAAACTACCCATGGGCTTGGGATCCCCCGTGCTGAGACGCCGGACTCCATGGAGGCCCATGTGAGACCCCACTCTGAGATGGCTACCAATGCCGATGAATATGCGAGACGACCTCGGTATATGGGTCGTCGTGCTCGCCGGGGCTGAGCTTCTCTAGAAGCTGTCAGTACCGCCTCACTATCTGTTCTTTATTTTCTTACTTCTTCTCCATTTTGTACTATATGATACCCAGCCCTGTATACACAGTAGCGTGGCTACATTGTTTTTTTTTTTTTTGCTCTTACTGTTCACTTCCCCGAGACACTTTGAACTGATTGGCGTATCATGAATTCTTTTCTTTTCATCTGTTATGTTTCATTTCTTAATGTATGCGAATGATGACTCTGTGCTTCTGCAATTTTGTCAAATTTGATGTCGACCCTGCTGGCAGGGTTAAGATTAATCTGAAAGATATTACATCGTCCAATATGTTACATACGTACTATCTGATGAAAGTAAGGATTGTACTAGAAGTGATTACGATGTGAAGTCATGTCAATGTATGCACCTAGGCATTGTGTTATCAGAGACCAACTACCTAGCTGGTACAAACGTAATGGGGGCACAAACCTGTCCCCCATCCTCCTCCTCCCCCCATGTTCTGTCAAGGGGCCCTCACCGACCCCAAGACTCCGACTCTCACGGCATGCGCCGCCACTCTCTCTTCTCGTTGCTAATATAGGTCACTTGACAAGTGACCCTTTATTCCCTCTCAGGCCGCTCACTGACCTCTTGGTTTCGATCCTCCGCGCGCCACGCTAAGGGTGCCGAATTGGTCGGGGTCCCCTTCCTAGTAGACATTAGCAATGAATCATCAATGAGAGGAATGTTAGGATCATATCATACAATGTGCGTCTTGACGATGTGGCGGCGGAGGTTCGAAGCCATCAGTCTCTCCCTTCCGACTCTGTTGAAGTCGTCGCAGAAGGGGCATCTGTAGGCGCAGGGGGCGATCATCTAGAAATGATGTTAATGTTAGTGTCAATGGTGAATTGGGAAGGATTATTTATTCATTTGGGATACGAACCAGCTCGGCATGCTCGGTAGGCCACAACCGCTGGAGGTGGTTTGGGCAGTTGCACAGGAGTTTGGTCTCTTCTCTGATGGTTTGTTAGTTAGTTGGGATCAATGGAGAACAAGGCGGAACTCACGCGAAGGAATCTGGCTGGGACTCGCCATTTGGTCTCCAGTCGCTGCCCTGAGACGTGGAGTTAGTGGCGGTGCTAGTAGTGGTAGGATTGGCACCAGTGCTAGAACCTGGTCCAGGGTTGGGGTCGGGGTTGGGGTCAGGGTTAGTGCCAACATTGGAGCCAGCCTTGTAGCCAGCATTGTAGCCAGCATTGTAGCCAGCATTGTAGCCAGCATCGTAGCCAGCATCGTAGCCAGCATTGTAGCCAGCATCGAAGCTAGCATCGAAGCTACGGTTGGGGCTAGTGTCCATGTTTGGGTCGATGTTTGGGTCGATGTTTGGGTCGATGTTTGGGTTGAAGCTAGCATTGCGAAGGCTAGGGTCGATGTTCGAATTGATGTTTGGGTTCATGCTTGGGTTGTCATTGCGGAAACCTTGGAAAGAAGGCATCGTGGCGGATATCGCTGGTGCGACTTGAGTAACTTGTGAGTGAGGTGGTAGTAGAGAAAGAAGAGAGAAAAGTGGCGGAGGGAAAGAGAATATATCGCACTTTCGACAAGGTAGGCAGCAGGTGTCAATCGACGCGTCGTGTTATTCAATGTCCACGGGTGTCATTCAATATCACCTAATATGGAAACAATAGTCTCAATGAAGCACACGCCTTCCGGTTAGCTATGAACTTGTCTGAACTTGTTTTTGATATTAACCCCTAGGACACGTTAGTTCTTGAGATGCTCTTGAGATACTAGAAAAGACAAAATCAGAGGTTGCAATGCACCATATGAATGCAAAATATCAATATCAATATCAAATTTAGACGACTCCAAGTTCCAAATCTTCCGGCCCATTTTGTTCCCAACTCCAGGCTTTTTCAATTCCCCCAAACGCCCCAAAAGACATGATATGCGGTCAAAGGCACCAAAAAACAAGAATGAAAAACCTTCTTCATGTCCTAGTACCACCGATTCCCCTCCTCCCCAAGAGTCTTCTTCTTCGGATTCAGCGAAACAACCCGTTGACCAGGAAGCGTATCCGCTGTGAAAGCCGCCTCGAAGATACTCGCAATCCCACGTTTAGCATAGTGCGCAAAAGAATCATAATCATCCCTCTTTCCATTAATAGCCCCCCACTCAATCCCACCAGGCGTAGTCCCATCTCCAAGATCACTCCACCGCGTAACAACAATAGATTGCTTGAACCGTTGATCCACCAGATCTTCACTCAGCTTAACCTCAATCAAATACTCAGTAGGACATTCAGGGCACCTCCGCATCGGCCGGCAAAACCCACACAGTGTCGTCAGCGCATTCGGATCAAACACCTGTCCCGCAATGCGGTCTTTCACCCGATGCTCGAGTCCCTGCAGCCCGCCACTACTCCGCGGCCGCGGGATATGCTCCAGCGCACACTTGCAGGCCGGCATCAACTCGCCGTCCCGCCAGTGCGCGCATGCGCTAAAGTACGGACAGTAGTCGTCACGTGAGTAAAGCAGCATACGCTGCGCAGACGGCGTGAGAGCAGGCGCTGCGAAGGTTTGACTGGTGACGCGCATTAGGAGCCGTCCTTCGTGGACGTGGAAGCGCGATGTGTGCGACCAGTTATCGCGCTGCCAGCGTCGGCCGAGGGCGTCTGGCGCCAGCCCGTAGCTGGGACCGAAGCGGTGGGCGCGCATCACTAGTTGCACGAATGTGAAAGGGAGATTGCGGCCATGAGTTATGCGGTGGCGGGGTGGGGGTTTTAGAGCGTTCGTTGAGTTTCGGCAGTTGAAGAGCGGGTTTAGGACGTGGCTTGGACGGATGCGTTCATTTCCTTCTTGTGTGCGTCGGTGGTATTGGGCGCAGGGGAAGCAGAGGAGGTGGTGTGGGAGGGAGATGTCGAGGCCGGAGAGAAAGTTGATTTTGTGGGTGCGGTTGTCTGGGTGGTCTAGAACCATGAGGTATCTTGGGCCTAGTCTTCGGTATAATGTGATGGTGGAGATTGCTAGGCTTGCTGCTTCGGCGGGATTCAGGTATCCTGCTATTTGCGCCCATAGCTTTGGTGAGAGACTTGCTATGTCGCCCTCGCCTTGGGGTCGATGTTCATTGGACTCGTAGCCTGCAGCGCTGGGATCGTTGACGTCGAGTGTGCCTAGCGTATGGATGATTTCCGTGTAGTCTCTTCGCTCACCCAGTTGGGAGTCCACTTGCGCGTGCAATTCCCTGTATTTGAGTCTATGGGCATGCAATGGAGCTAGCTCTGGCATTGGAGGGGCTTCTTCGACACTGGAGCGCGCGGCCAGCCGCAGGTCTGTGGTCGATCTGCTCCCTTTGCGGAGGGTTTGGCGGGATTTCTTAGGACGCAACGCATTGGAGAGGAATGACTTGAAGCCATTCTTCTGGCCAGGACTTTCTGCCGACATCATGGAGTTGCCAATGAATCCAAGTGTTCGAGGCCCAGATGGAGAATATCAGGGTCTTGTGTTTCGGATGCTTGCGGTGATCTTCCGCATTACGCATTACGCGGTCCGCCCGGCCCGGTCTACCACATTGGTCGATACTCGAGAGGAACAAGAAATAGCTAAATACGATGATCTAATATTAAGAAATGGTTCATGATATTGAAAAACACATGCTACAATACAGGGGTAATTAAGCACAATCCATTGGAGCAGCATTTACAAATCAAGTAGAGTCATTTAAGCGAAACGCTTCTCAGCGGCCTTCCAGTTGATGACATCCCAGATGGCGGAGAAGTACTCGACCTTGCGGTTCTGGTATTGGAGGCTAGAGAAACGATTAGTATAGGTAATGGATCATCAAAACAGGAATTCTTACTAGTAAGCGTGCTCCCAAGCGTCAATACCGAGCAAAGGCTGGAACTGACCGACGACGGGGTCCTGGTTCTGGTAAGGGGTTAGTAACTAGATCGTCTCAAGATGAAGCGAGGAATCTCCAATCATGACTTACAGCGTAAGTGCGGATTCCGATCTGTCCGGTCTGCTTGTCCTTCACGAGCCAAGCCCAGCCACTGCCCTGAATGCTAGCCAGAGCAGCGTTCATCTTGGACTGGAACTCGCCGATGCCACCGTAGGTGGAGTCAATGGCCTTGGCAAGAGCACCAGAAGGGGGCTCACCACCGCCGGCACTCTTGGGGGCAAGGTTCTCCCAGAAGAGAGTGTGGTTGAGGTGGCCACCGCCGTGGAAGTTGACAGCGGGCTTGAGAGCGATCTGAGCAGCGATATCGCCCTTAGCCTGGGCCTCCTGCAGCTGCTCAAGGGTGTTGTTGTAGCTGGTCACATAGGTGTTGTGGTGGTTCTTGTGGTGAATCTCCATGATCTTGCCGGAAATGGAGGGCTCAAGAGCGCCATAGTCGTCTTGTTTTAGAGGTCAGTTTAACTCTTTTTACTCCAAATATATATATAATGCTTTTGTCTATCTCCAGAAGGTACTGTGACACCAAACTTACAGGAAAGGTCGGGGAGGGTGGCCTTGCCGCGGGCAAAGGTCAAGCCCGCAGCTCCAGCCTTGGAGGTAGCCGAAGCTCCCGAGCGAAGGGAAACGCGGGCCGAGTTGTTAAGGAGAGCAGCAGCCATTGTGAATGTATGTATTGAGGATGAATATGCGGTGAAAAGGAATAAAGAGGGCGTCAATTACGAGAGATGAATGAACTCAAAGGAAAAAAAGTAACACACCCGAGCTATGAAGTAACCGACTCTAACGTCATCTTGTTTTCGTCGGTCCGGATATTGGTTATCCCGGTCCGGGTCTCCACGTGAATTTCATGAGCTCTCGACTGCTACTCATTCTTCCAGGACACTACCGCTTACTTCTACACTTTTGCTGAAAATTGAGGGGACAGTCGATTTGGCTACAACTTGCCAATGACCCCCTGAAAAGATGGAGTCGCCTTCGTTTTCAGGCCAGAAGCGCAAGGTCGCCGACATGAGCTCTGATGAAGAAAGCACGCGCCCGACCACCGGCTTTCGGGGTTTCGCCAGAGCTGCCTCTCGTTCCGTGACGCCTCCAACTATGGGCGGACTAGGTAGCGGAGCCCGCAATAACCGCAACACCATGGCCAACCCTCGAGGTGGAGGATCGTCACGAGGTGGGAAAGCCATGGGAGGTGGCGGTGGAGGGGGAGGAGCCAACAGTTTTGCTGCGCGCATGATGGCAAAGATGGGCTACAAGGAAGGCCAAGGCCTTGGAACTTCTGGTCAGGGTATCGTCAACCCGATTGAGGTACAGGCGCGACCCCAGGGTGCAGGCTTGGGCGCAGTGAGCGAGAAGTCGAAAAAGACTCGCGAAGAAGAGCGACGAGCAGCTGCACAGAAGGGGGAGGTTCTCGAAGACAGCTCCGAAGATGAACGGCAGCGGCGACGAAAGAAGAAGGAGGAGCGCAAGGCACAGGGCCGGAGCGCCACAGGTACACCGATCCAGCGTGCGAAGCCCAAATTCCGCACAGCGCGTGAAATTGAGGATGATATGGAGGGTCTGGAAGTTCCAAATGTTCTCAAATCACTCGTCGATGCCACCGGAAAAGAGCAGCGTGTTCTCACTTCGACTGCTGGCCTGATGTCGACACAGCAATTTGTCAGCCAAGAGGAAGGAGAAGCATTAAAGATCGCCCAGCGAGCCCGGAATGACCTGGAAGCATTTGCAGATGAATGGAAGGGATTGAAAGAGAGAAAACAGTACATCGAACTCGAAGAGGCTCAGGTCGTGGACGAATTGGATGCATATCAATCCCGGATCAACCACCTCACAGGCCTAATCGCCGCAGTGGAAGAATTGGACATCTTTGAAAACGATGAAAGCATCACAACCAAATTTGACGAGTTGACGACCAAGCTTGAAGACATCGAATCCAAATATCGTGATGCTGTTGATGAGCACCGACTCCCAGAGACCGCAGTAGCAGCTCTACATCCGTTATTCCGCCAAGCCATGGAGGAATGGGAGCCTCTCCAAGATCCCACGTTCCTCGTATCCAACCTCACCCGTCTTCAGCCTCTTTTGTCTCGCACGAACAAGTTAGAAGAGCCTCGGAAACGTGCATCCACCTCACCTTACGAAACGATGATCTATACCCTCTGGCTCCCACGAGTGCGCTCAGCACTTCTGAATGATTGGGACGTTTACGATCCGTCCAAGGCAACCGCGCTGGTCGCGGCCTGGAAGGCAATTGTACCGCCATTTGTGTATGCAAACGTTCTTGACCAATTGGTCATTCCCAAGGTGGGCCTGGCGCTCAAAAACTGGAAACCTCGAGCCAGTCGACGAAACGCCGGCTCCGAACAAGATGGAAAGTTCCCCTGGTGGCTTTTCACTTGGCTTCAATACCTGGATGAACGACACACAAACCCGAAACAGCCCACTGGTCTCATGTCTGACGCAAAGAGAAAGTTCCGCTCGGTACTCGATACATGGAGTCTGCGCAAGGGTCTGGTCGATCGCGTTGAGATCTGGCGGGAT